GGGGGGGGGGGGGGGGGGCGCAGTGAAGGGAGCGCCAGTCCAGTGGCTATGTAGTGAAAACGAAGAAACTTTCTTCAAGTTTAAATTCACATGCAATCTCAAGAGACTATTCAGAGAAAGTTTTAAGTTCAGAGCTTTGAAGACGTGGGAGCAAAACTTAAGTGGGAGCGGAGGGCTGGCTGTCAGAGGAGGGAAGAAGCCAGACTGGCCGGAGAGAGCTGCCTCTGTGCCCAGCCCAGCCGTCCCCTCTGGCCACCGCTGCGGACACCTGCCTTAACACCTACACCTTGAGTACTCCACACAGTTTTGCCTTAAAGGACCTTCCCAAGTTTCCCCAGCCCTGTCTGGCTTCTCCCTCAAGGACAGAGAGATACTTGCAGAATTGGGAGGGGGGAACGGAGCATGAATTGTCCTTCCGGTCAGGATATGTGATGTGAGAGTGTGTGTGTGTAAGAGAGAGAGAGAGAGACGGAGGAAGGAATTAGGAGCTTTCTCTGAAGAGGAGAGAGGGTGAGATGGGAGAAGGGAGACAGGGTCATTTTCAACAGAGTCTAGTAGTATCTCTGTAAGGCAAAAATAATCTAAAAAGACTAACCTGCCCTCCCATCCCTGTACTGCTGTGAGATCGTCCCCTATCCTGTGCTCCCCTGTCTGCAGTGTGCACGGCCTCATTCTAACCCTGGAATAAAGGTGATTGTACTGTATCCGGTTCTAGAATTTCTGTGAATTACCAGGACTTTGGAGTCTTTGAATGACTGGGGAAGGGAGGGGGAGCGATACCCCAAATCCCTCACTGCAGCCTGGAAAACACCCCTAATGGTATCCTTCCCCCCCGCTTCCCCCCACCCGTCTCCCGAGTAGCCCTGAGCTATGGGGCCTGCTCCACTGGAGCCCAGGCCTGGAAACAGGACTGTCCCAGACCAGACCTCCTCAAACCGTAAGGGAGACAGGGCCAGGAGCCGATAGTGGAAGAGACCAACCCGGTCCATCACGAATGAATGGGCCACATGTCGCACACACACAGCGGCAGTCAGAAAAGAGAAGAAGAAAA